AGGTTCCTCACAGTGGAGCTGGAGGACAAACTGACACCAAGGTGACTCTGTTCAGACAGTGATTCTCTGAGATGTTGAGGGTCAGTGACAACGACCTCAGTCTGAATTAGAAGTAAGAAGTTCTGGCTCATCCAGGCCTCGATGTTCCTGAGACGTTCCTGAAGTTGAACTAAGTGATTAGATTCATCAGGCTTCATAGAAATGTACAGCTGGGTGTCGTCTGCGTAACAATGGAAGAGTCTCTGGTGCTTTCTCATGATGTTGCCTAAGGGAGCATATATAAGGTGAAGAGTATCGGTCCAAGGACAGAACCTTGTGGAACTCCATGACTAACTTACATGTGCATGGGGGGGGGGGTTATTGTTGACGTTGACAAATTGTGTTCACTCTGCTTGTGAAACACTGGACGGAGATTAAAGTGAGTTTGTAAACTAGAACAACACATGATGTCACACTCACACTCACACACACACACACACACACTCACACACACTCACACTCACACTGACTGAGTCCCCCCCTGTAATTTAACCCCTTGTTACCATGGTGACCTGGACGTCATCTCTGTTGTTTAAGAGATACCCCCCCTCTCCTCCCCCCCTCTCCTCCCCCTCCCTCTCTCTCGCTCCCTTCATCATGTCCTCCGGTAACAGACGGGTCTTCTTCTCGGTCTCCGGTGTCCTCGGTCTGTGCTGCGCGCTCACGGCGGCTGTGGTGACGGGTCTTCCTCTGTGGATCCGCGGGACCGCGCTGTGCCGGACCGGGGCCGAGCTGGTGAACGCGACCGGACCCGAACTGGACAAGTTCCTGGGAGAGCTGAGCTACGGACTGTTCACCGGACAGAGGCTGAAGCAGTGCGGCCTGGGGGGCCGAGCGTCCCGGTTCTACTGTGAGTTCCTGTGTGGAGACTAAAGAATCTATCGATGAGCAGGAGACACGACAAGAGGACCTGACCCTGGATCAGTCATTCTCATGTCTGACGTCACTGATGGCGCTGTTTACTCCATTGATAATTATCAATGTTTCCTATTGCTTATTTTTATTTATTAGATCTGTCAATCATCAATTAATAGTACTACAAACAAACAGTTAATCAGTGATCCAGGATCAGGTCCAGGTCCAGGTCCAGATCCAGGTCCAGGTCCAGGACTGTGAGGCTGCCGGGTCGGAGCAGGTCTCCTCAGTAACGAGGTCTCAGCTGATTGGACGAAGAGACAAAGCTGCTCTGTCCTCAGGACAGCACACTGTAAACAATCCTCCTCTGTGAACAGATGAAGTTGATCTAGGTTTGAAAGTGTATTAGTTTACAGGACGTTCAGACTTTAATCAGACGAAGTGGGAACGTTGAAGTGAAGCTGACATTCTGATGATGTCATTGTGTTGCTAAGGAGACGTCTTCTACAGGTTTCACTCGTCTTTCTCTTCTTCCTGTCTCAGTCTTTCCAGACCTGCAGAGCGTCATCCCCACAGCCCTCCATGTCACTATCATCTTCTTCTGCGGTGTCGTCATCCTCTTCTCCTCCGTGGCCACCGGCTTCTTCTTTGTCAACGCCTTCGGTCGACCCTACGAGATGCTGCAAGGCCCCATGGGACTTTACCTGTGGACCTTCATCTGCTGTGAGAAACACATCACTTACACCAAA